TCTCCCCGAGCTGTGATGTCCTCTGTTGTCAACAAAGGTTTCTATTTAACTTTATTTTTCCTGTTTTCTTTTGTTCTCTTCCCCAAAGACTTCCAATGTATCCCCCAGACACTTCCTTTCCAAAATGAGGTGGTTAGAAGTGCAGGTGACAAGGATGGAGGTGAGCATTTTGGAATACGACCTCTCCTTGCTTTCCTCCGTTACCCTCATTGTTCTGTTGTATTTCTAACTTTCTCTCTTAATTTTAATTTATTCTTTCTGAGTTTTGAGTGTTTCATCATAGCAGTTTGGATTTTTTCCAATCCCATGATTATCTCTCTATTAAAACCTTAATACAAAAAGAAATTAAAAAAAAAACTCGACTGCTCATTACTTTGATTTGTAGCAAAGAGAGAATGGAACATTACTGCTAGAGTGTTTCGAGAAACCATATTTACATTTGCATCAGCTCAATTTAGGTGCCTGATTAGGCTGCGCGCTATGATGAAGTTGCACTTACCAGTCAAGGGGAAGTGGCGTGGGCCAGAGTAATGAGCTGGAGACTTCAAGGCAGGAGCCCTGAGTGCTATTTCTGGCTGTGACTGGCAACCCCTTTGACCTTGAGCAGGTCTGTCTCCCTGTCTCAGACCCTAAGAGCACTGATTTGCCTCTGAGGGCTTCAGTGAGTGGCCGGTCACTTAAGTGTTGATTGTGGTGGGGGCATGGAATGGAGGCGGGATCACAAATGGAACCGGAGACAGGATCTCTGCTCTGATAGTTCTTCCCAATAGTCGATTAAGATAAGAGATGGTGTCTGAGAAGTGGGCTGACTGCGCAGATCTTGGTCTGATAGGGATATATGACAGGCTGAGAATTTAGTCAATAGAATGTAAAAGCTTGCCCTAATTAGGCGAGATGCATTCGCATTCTGTTATTTAGGGGGGGCTTAACCAGAGAGTCCATTGTCTGTTTTGTCTTAACAGTGCCACTCTGAGATTGTGGGTTTCATGCCTGAGTCCAGCGAGCTGTCACTGTCACTGACTGGTCTCTGGAGGGCCATCCTGTGAAAGACAGGCTCAGGAAGCAATCTCTAAGTTTAGGAGCAAGAGCTTAGCCCATGGCAACTCCAATATTTGCTGGAATCATCTTGCTCCTTCTGGCAGCCTGTGAGGCCAGTAAGAATGCACGCGAGAGAAGATTCAATCAGTCTTCGGTTGAGCTGTCACCCCACAAAGAGCTGGACTGAGAAGTGAGGGTGAGGAGTGAGGGTTAATATGTTTGAAAAGGAAAGCAAGAGAATTATAATATTCCCCCTTCTAATATAGATAAGTTCTCTCCCTCTGCAGATGTTGTAACAAAAGCAACACTCAAGGTTTATAGCTCATCCCCATTCTTGTATAGGCTAATATTTATGGAGAACAATCTAATAACAAGAGGCAATATTTCTCAAGCACTGTTCTAAGTGCTTTGCATCAATTAACTCATTTAATTTTCACACTAATCCATTAGGTAGGCAGGATTGTTGTCCCCATTTTACAAATAAGAAAATTGAGGGACGAAAAATCTAAATAATTTGCCCAAGCTTCTACGACTGCAGCTCAGCATTAGAACCCTGGCCACCTGGAACCTTCCCTCGTAAGTACCCATGCCTACATGAATACAAATCTGTAACAGAGACAGCAGCAGTCTCCGGGGCCTCCAGGGTTTGAGAGACCGGGAGCTATTGAACCAGCTACCCTCTCAGAGTGTGAGCACACTCTGACATCCAAAGGGAAACAAGAGAAATTTGGAGTTCAGTATTAGACTCTTGCTGGGCAGGGGCCAGTGCTGTGGTATAGCAGGTAGCACCAGCATCCCATAGGGGCGCCAGTTCAAGTCCCAGCTGCTCCTCTTTCGATCCAGGCTATGGCCTGGCAAAGCAGTAGAAGATGGCCCACGTCCTTGGAGCCCTGCCCCTGTGTGGGAGACCTGGAAGAAGCTCCTGGCTCCTGGCTTCTGATCAGTGCAGCTCCGGCCATTGTGGCAATTTGGGGAGTGAACCAGCGGATGGAAGACCTCTCTCTCTCTGCCTCTCCTTTTTCTGTGTAACTCTGACTTTCAAATAAATAAACCTTTAGAAGAAAAAAAGAATCTTGCTGTGCAGTAGTTATGATTTGTTCCACCTTTAGAAGGGAAGGAAGGTCTCTTTCACACTGTTGTGCAAGGGACTTCCACGTGATTCTGCCCAAACACCATCGGAAAGTCTCCTTCTTCCCTTTCAGGGTCCGTCCATTCCCTATCTTAGATGAAAGGTATGTGTGAATACCATTTGACTTCTAGTTATCAAAAGCTTTCTAAAACAATGAAATGACGCGTCGATTCTCTTTGAGACCTAGTATTTCCCCCAGAAAGCCCTTACGATTTCTCGATAAACTCTCTCCCACTTTGTCTTTCTGCATGACAAGATGGGAACTGGGAGACGACCCTGCAGGTGACTTGCTTTAGTCTACGTAGGCAAGGCCTTCAACTTGCCAGAGAAGTTGCCACTAGAGAGAAAAGCAGAGGAGATGAGTGTGCATCCCCCTGGAAGAAGGTCTAGCCCTATGGTAGCCCTGGGACCCTGTTTTTGCCCAACAGTGAATGGCAAACATCCCAGAATGCTCCTGGAGCAGCAGCGTGAGGCCATTCCCTCCTCACCCACTGAAGGACCACAGAATGACTGGTTCCTGTTTCCCCAACTGCAGGTTCATGTGCAGTAACTGATCCCAGAGAAACAGAGTGGCACAGTGTAAGAGCTGGCGCATTAAATGATCAGAAAACCATTACCCACTGATAGGACGGTTGGTGGTGCAGCGTGATTAGAGCCAATCCCCGTGGGCCGGCCCTGAGCTGCTGCCCAGGCTTTAACTGGCTGCCAGGCCCTCCGGACTTGGGCCTGGGCCTTGATGAGAAGGAAAATCCATAATGGGCAAGAGGAAACAGATGCTTTATTCCCTCTGGTTCTGAATGCTCTTTGAAATGGATAGTAGTGTCCGGATTCCCAGGTCTGACTTCAGCTCCAACACAGGTTTTAAAAAATTATTTCGATGAAATCCCTGCTTCTTTGGGTCTGGGGTAAACCAAAAAGTCTAAGGTAAATTAAATCTTATTTTACTGAGTTGGAGGGATTCTCTGCTTAAACATATTCCAGAGTGAATTTTCCTTTTTTTTTTTTTTTTTGGAGGGATGGAAAAAGAAATTCTTCACCCAAGAAAAGGCTCACTCTAAGTTTGCCTTATAGAAAATGTGTAGGCCTATGTCTACATTCTTCTGTGTTTACCAAAAGCCAGGTTAACCCTTTGTTCCCTGCCTCCTGGATGCACTTGTTGTCACCTGAACAAGTGTTAACTCAGCCACTCCCAGGCTGGGTTGGCCACTCTGCCTCCGTATCTCCAGGTCAATTTCCCACGGTAGTGCTTCAAAGATGTCAAGGACCAGAGCCCCCAAAGCAAGGACCACAGCCCCTTAAAGGATCCGGCTGAATCGAAGTAGACTGGGAGGGACATGGCTGAAAGGAGAGATGGCAGACTGCTCCTGAAGACAGGATTCTGCCCTAGACGTGTGGGCCCAGAAAGTTCCTAGCCCGCCCCTGTACCTGCCTCCCGGGCTGGCAGCCGTGAACTGGATGACTGGGCTTCATCGATCAAAGCTGTCTTGTACCTGGAGACCCTTCCAGTGCTGGACACTACTGGACACTTACCTCTGAGACCCAGCACTAAGCCAGACAGAGCACCTGCTTACTGTGGACATGTAAAAGACATTCTCAGAAAAAAGGCCTCTAAATGTATCTTTTACAGACCTGGACTCTGGCGTCTGCCTACTCATAAGCTAACCCTGGCTCCGCCATTTACCAGCTGTGAGCCCTTGGGCGAGTCGCTTAACTTCTCTGCACTACAATTTCCTCATCTGTAAAAAGGGGGAGAAAAATTGTTCTGCCAGTATAGAGCTGTTGTAAGGATTAAATAAGGTAATTCACATAAGTCATGCCAAGGGCTAAGTCTTGCAAGAAGCCATTAGTATGTTCATATGGGTGCAGATGCATACGCCAAAATATTAACAGTAGCAACTCTGGATGCTGGAAGAGCAGGTGATTTTTTATTTTTTTCTGTACTTCTTCATGCTTCCCCCCATTTTTTGCATTAGTAGCTAATTTGTAGTTAGAAAGTAATTGCATTTAAAAAAAGGAAATTCTGCAGGACCTCCCCGGCTTGTCTACAGATGCAGGAAAGGGGAGGAGGGGAAGTGAGAGAGGACAGGAAGGCAGCGGGGTGGAGTGCACTGGGGCGTTTAAACCCCAGGAGGCACCTGTGGGAGCTGTGAGGCCAGGACGATGGAGGAGCACTCTTCTTTGAGGGTCCTCGCCCAGGGGCCAGGAATAGGGGACAGATTTATCCTGCCTCAGATGGACAGGGCAGGTCTCAGGTATTTGCCTTGAGCTCTGTAGCTCCTGGGCGGGGCCTAAGGGGTGGGCAGGTCCAGCCCATTTCCAAGTGCAAGGCCAGCTGAGCCCTTGGTGTTGACCAGAGTGAGGGCAGTTTTGTCACCACCCACCCCACTCCCAGGCCTCCCCAGACCCCACGGCAGGCCCTGGAGCGGAGCAGTCCTCCCTTCCTTTGCCTGTCTCAGCAATTACAACTCGTTAAAGAATCTAACCCATTAGTTAAAACCGGGCCCAGCATCTGACTCTGACCTCCTACGGCAACAGGGCCACATGCTGACTCCATGCCGCCTGATTTGTCCTCAATTTATAAGCAACACAACCTATAAATAGAAACCCTTTTGCTAAATTCCCCAGGAGGCATCAGCAGGTTTGCCAGCTTGTGTGTGTTTTCTTCTTTCTTTTTTTTTAAAAACCAACATGGTAGGCTCATCTCCGCATCCTCACCCCCAGCTCAGCCGGAGGGCACGGCGGCAGGCTTGGAGGTTGGGGTAGGCACACCTCAGCCAGGCCTGCAGAGCTTGCGTGGAGAGGGGACCCCACCCCACGCCGGGTGCCCACTCACCTGTAGATCCTGTACCTGGTGGTGAAGCCCTGGCGGTAGCGCTCCATGAAGTCGGCGTACTCCTGGGCGCGGTGGAAGGGGCCGCGGTCGCTGAGCAGCCAGTCCAGCGGGGGCTGGCCGGCCGACGAGGCATGCTGCTCGGGGCCCGCCGAGAGCGCCCACACCCACGCGGGCAGGCCCAGGGCCAGCAGGGCTGCCCATGGCGCCGCCGCCGGCCCAAGCCCTCTAAGCCGAGTGCCACGCTGCCACCTCATGCTTCTCCAGGGCGGTTGGTTTCTTCATTCTCTCGCCACGCTCTCCCCCTCTGCGCTGCTCCTCTAGGGCTCCGAAACTGGAAAAGCACAAGAGTGATTTCAGGTGGGCGCCCCTGTCTGTGACCGGCACGCAAAACTGGGCAGGGTGGGCATTTGGAGTAGCGGCTGAGATTCCCGCCTGGGACGTCAGGTGCCTGGCATCAAGTCCCGGCTCTGCCTCCCACCCGCCTCCTGAATGCGCACCCAGTGAGGCAGCAGGTTGGGGTGCGAGTAATCGGGTCCCTGCCGCCTCCATGGGAGACTTGGGTGGCGCTCCAGGCTCCTGGCCTCAGCCTGGCGCGGCCATCTGGGGCGTGACCCAGAGGTTGGAAGAGTCTCCCGTCCCCCTTCTCAGTGTCGGTCTCCCTTTCAAATAAATTAAAGTCAGGGGAAGAAAAAGAAACAGGGGGCAGGGCCCATTTGGAAATCCTTCATCCTGCTAGAACCGAGTAAAGCGCTCAATACATATCATTTTATTTAATTCCTCAACAAACCTTTGAGGAAACATTGCAGTCATCACTTTACAGACGAGAGGATGGGGCTTACAGAGATTAAGACGGTCGCTTAAATTCACACGGATATCGAGTGGAAAAGCCAGAACTGGAGCTCAGGGGGTCTGACTCGTAACCCTTGGGTTTGCTTCCAGGCTTCCTGCCTTGACTCAAGCCCACCACCTGCTCTGTCTTCTGCTGGCAAAAAGACTCAATTTGCTTCCATAACCACTGCACAGACCATGCACTGCTTCCAGAAGCTTGATGTGAGGGGCACAGCAACCCTGTTCTCCACAGTGGAGTACCTGTAATGCATTGGAGTGCAATGGACTTTTTTTTTTTTTTTAAAGATTTATTTATTTACTTGAGAGTCAGAGTTACACACAGAGAGGAGAGGCTCAGAGAGGCAGAGGGAGACAGAGAGAGGTCTTCCATCTGCTGGTTCACTCCCCAATGGCTGCAACAACCAGAGCTGCGCGGATCCGAAGCCAGGAGCCAGGAGCTTCTTCTGGGTCTCCCACACAGGTGCAGGGGCCCAAGGACTTGGGCCACCTTCTACTGCTTTCCCTGGCCATAGCAGAGAGCTGGATCGGAAGTGGACCAGCCAGGACTGCATCCGGCACCCATATGGGATGCCGGAACTGCAGGCGGTGGCTTTACCCACTACACCACTGTGCCGGCCCCGCAGTGGACATTTTGAGATGTTTACAGCCCCTGTCTTGACTGTTGAACAGTGTTTTTTCTTGATACTATTCCTTGAACTCTTTACTTGGTGTAGGGTTAATCTTACATACTAAAATACACTGAAAGTAGATTTCTGTAAAATTAAGAGTGGGAAGAGGAGAGGGAGGAGGAGGAAGGGTGGGAGCGTGGGCGGGAAGCAGCACTATGCCCCTGAATCTGTACGTAGGAAATACGTGAAATGTGTACACTTTAAATACAATTTAAAAGAAGAAAAGTAGTGAAGTGCCCCGGCTGCCCTGAAGCAGGGTGAGCAGGCTGCCCTCCGCGGGTTCATTGTCGGCTCTAGCAAACACAGGTCTCACTGGTCATGTGGAAGACCCGGCCTGACTCTGAACATCTGGTCTGTTCTTTCCGAAGGGTGAGAACGGGAAGCTGGACGGCACTCTTGCCCTCTCAGGGCACCCGGGCAAACAGATGCCCACCGACTTCCACCTCTCCTCCCTGGGCAAGGCCAGGGCTGCGCCGCCCTGCTGTATCCCCCTGCCCCGGCTCCCGCGGCCACAACGCAGGCCTCCTGACGGCCTTGTTGGGATGAATGAGCACCTGCCCTGCCCTCTCTGACTGGAGGAACGACGACCCTGACCTTCGAGGTAGCTGCGCTCCTGGCTCAGGCCGGGTTTCTGCTTTCCGGCCTGTGCGCTTTGTCAAAGGACTGCTCAGTCACCTTCATCAACCGCAGGGCAGGCGCAGGGCCCCGTTCGGTACACAGGCCTTGTTGGAAGTGTAATTGTGCCTTCAGCCTTTAACTTCTGGCACCAGCTATCAGAGTCCTGCCCATGTCCCCGCCCTGGCACCACTTCAGAGTGTTGCCAGAATGACTTCCCACTCCTGCTCCCGTAACGCGTGGCTTAAGGAGTTTCTCTGGCTACTGAAGCCCAAGACAGCTTCCCTGGGATGAAGCCAGGCGGGGATGCTAATTCCCTGGCGCTTCCAGATTCTGTATGGGGCAGGCCCTTGATGTATGCCACCTTCCAGAGACTCACAGGGCACTCTGGTATGGCTCCAGCTCAACAAAGCCCCCAGGTTTCCCATGGGTCAGTGAGAAACATGAAGGAGTATGCAGAGACTGGAGCCAAGGATTTATCTTAGAGACTCCCAGCTGAACGTTGGCCAGGGTGTCAGACATCCTGGTCTCAGGACTCGTCCAAGCTTGCTTTCCCAGAAGCTGGGTGCTAGGTGCGTGCTAGGAGCCGGCGCAGGCAGTGAAACAGACCCTTGCCTAATGAACTGGTTAGGAGCAGGGTGCAAGGAACAACAACGAGGCGGTACCTGCCTCCCAGGTCTTAAAACATAAGATTCCAATAATTAAAGCAGGCGATAGTGGCACACCAATGGGACAGGCCGATCAATGAAACAGAAAACTCGGAAATAAACCTTATTACATATAGGAACGTAGTTTGTGAGAGAAGGGTACTGCAGTCTAATTGGATAGGGGGTAAAATATTTTATACATAATATTGGGAACTTAGTTCCAGTTGGATTAAAAAGTTAAATATAAAAAAGAAAATCATAAAAAGAAGGAAGGAAAATCCCTAAGTATTTTATAATAAGCATGCATTTGCAGAGGAAAAATGTGATTTCAAACTAAAAAGAGGAGTCAGCTTTACAGTTAAAAGGAGTAGGCATTTTTTATATGGATGCAATCTGATGAGGATGCCAAAAATATTTCTCACTTAATCATTCACATATTCATGTATTGAAGAAACATAAATGGAAGACTCCTAAGTGCCAGATACTATGCTAAGCACTGACAATACAAAAGCAAGCGCTCATTACATTGCCTGAAACTCTACCATTAGTGATTAATTCTTCTCATAAAATATGGCTCCAGGTTTTTAAAGGCAGATTGATGGGGGAGAATGTTCATTTAGGAGATTGCAGCTACTTGACACCGAAAGCCAAGGCAGCCAACACGGTAAGGTGGAAATGCACAGATGGGTGGGGGGAGAACGTGGAGACATGGTCCCAGAGATTCCCCTGCACAGTCCCCTCCCACCCAGTGTGGGCGGGACCTGTGAGTCTGCTGGGACACCAATTGTATGATTCGTTTATTGGCCAGTTGACTTTGAGTGAAGGTCTGATTAATGCAAAATGCCTCAAAAGTTCAGATGCCGGATAATAGTTGAAAGTCCAGTGCGACAGTGAGATAGACTGACAGATAACTTCAAGCAAATCCTGGGTGGGCATGGCCCAAGCAGATGACCCAGTAGCACAGAGGGAAGGGTTCAAGAGCAGAGCACTGACTGGCCAGGCCGTGAGGGTCCCGGTCAGGGACTTGGAGACCTGAGAGCAGTCCTCAGCCGTCAGCTAGCGAGAAAACAGCCATCTCTGTCACCAATCCATGTGAGCTCAGCAGGGACCCTGAGCCCCAGGTGACTGCACACTGTGAGCACCCTGCGCAGAGGACCCGTGAACTTGGACCCAAATTCCTGACCCATGGAAACTGAGATAATGGATCTGTGTCATTCTGTGTGGTTCAGCTGGTGGTAATAATGCTGACAGGTAACAGACAACCAGACCGGCTCCCTTTTCTGCATCAGGCCTGGCTGGATGAGGGCATTCACCCTCCCTGATACTACTACCCTCTGGGTAAGAAGCAGCTTTCTGGCAGTTTTCTGGACAGAGTGACTCGCTGAGTGACATCACACCTCCCCAGCCTGGTTTGTGGACCCTTCAAGGTCACAGGTTACTTCTTAGTTTCTTTTGTTTTTGATAAGATTTATTTCTTTGAGAGTCAGAGTTGCAGAGAGAGAGAAAGACAGAGAGAGACAGATCTTCATACATTGGTTTACTCCCCCAATTGCCACAATGCGTGGGGCTGAGACAGGCCAATGAGAGGAGCCAGGAGCTTCACCCGAGTCTCCCACGGGAGAGATGTTCCTGGATCATTTTCTGCTGCTTTTCCCAGACCATGAGCAGGAGCTGGCTTGGAGGTGGAGCAGCCAGGACACAAACTGGTGCCGGTATGGGATGCTGGCAATGCAGGTGGTGACTGTACCTGCTCTGCCACAATGCCGGCCCCTGAAATCCCACCACTCACATGCAGCTGTCCCCTAGGTTATTTCATGAATTAGTTCCGTGCGTTTGGTGGAGGGGTCTCTGTGAGGCAGTGATGGTGTGTGGCCAAGCCAGCTGTTTAACCTCCTGGCGCACTGGCCCCCTGTGCAGCTGTCCTACGTAGATGTGCTCACCTCCGGTTGAGGGGTTTCTAAGGGCAGGTGAGACCATGCATGTGAAAAGGGGTGTGCTCTTGCAAAGAAACGCCCTGTGTGAAGTCGATGTGTGCTTCTTGTGGTTCTTTGTTTGTAATTACGCTGTTTCAGAGCTCACAATGGGCTGGGACCTGCCTGGCTGTGGGAGTATCAGCTTCAGAATCAAACGGCTTTGATTGCTGGGCCAAGTCTGCTGAGCACAGCAAGAACGCCTGAATTCGGTGCTGACTGCTCCTCTGCGAAACCTGGCCTTAGGATCACATGGCTTCCGCTTCACTAGCTTTCTTCGGGATCTAAAGACATCCTGACTAAACAGGAAAAATAAAAATCTCTTTAAGAAAAAGAAGTTTTAAACAGGTTTAAAATTTGTTCCCCCAAATCCCTAGAATGCGCTGCTTCAACTCAGGAAAAAAAAAAAAAAAAAAAGGGACACAATAATTGCTGTGTTGACAGTTGTGCAAAATTCAGGCTTTTGAACAGGAACCGCTTTGGCCATTTCCTGTTTTTGCTCCACAATGATAACACCAGAAATTCTGTCGCAGCAACCTGTCAGGCCAATTTTACCTGTCTGAATTCTCATGACTTCTGGCT